GAGTAACATTAAAGAATAGGACCCAGATTTGGATTATTTTTTCAGATTTATAAGTACTCGAACAATGCTATATTCTGACTTTGTCATCCTGTAGAGAACCATTTATTTTATCATACTACTTATTTTTATCTTAGTTAAACCTTTTTTTTTTCTGATATAAAATGTGTTTTACATTTTTTTCCTTTATACCATAATGCTAAACAAGCCATCCGTTTACATGTTAAAATAAAATATTAATTACTTAAAGAATATTTAGAAATTTTTAAGAACTCTATATTATAAAAAGAGATGTATGAATTGCAATGTTGTAAATTTTCATGAAAGTTGAGGGATTTCCCTGTCTGAAAATATGCTTCGCATTTGGTTCAAGCTTTTGTATATTTGATGAAGACAGCCTTAAAAAAAGTAAATTCCTGTGATTGATTGTACCATTGTAAAAAGTCTTAAAAGAATTAACATCTCTTAATATTTACTAGCTCTTTCCCATCCATAGTGTTAAAAACAGACTTCAAATTTTTTAATTAAAATATTAAGGCGGTCTTCAGAGTAACATTAAAGAATGGGACTCGGATTAAGAATATTTTTTCGGGTAAAAAAGTATTTCAACATTAATACTCTATTCTGGCTTTGCTATCCTGTAAAGAGCAGCATTTTTCATCATACAACTTTTTATCTGAGTTGACTCATTATTTCTGGTAGGAAATGTGTTTTGCATTTTTTTCTCCTATACTGTAATGTAAAATCAGCTCTCCCCTTGCATGTTAAAAGGTAAAAATATTATTTGTGGAACATTTTGAAATTTTATAAACCTGTATTATAAACAGATGTATGTATCACAATGTTGCAAATTTTCATAAAAATTGAGACATTTTTTTGTCTGAAAATGTGCTTCGCATTAGTTCTGGCTCTTGTACATATGGCAAAAACAGCCTTAAGAAAGATGCAAAGCAATAGTAATAATGACTGTCTTTCAAAGGCTGTAATTTTATTTTTCTCTAGACTTTTTTAAAAAATTGCAGTTAAATTTTAGGTAGTAGGTTTGAATTTCAGATTGTAGGATACATATTTGAAATTTTCAACTTCATTAAACATTGACAAGTCTTAATTTTTCAAAAAATGTCATTTATCTACAAAATTTTAATATGTAAATTCCAACAAAGAATTTATTTTCAAATTTTTTTTATATAAAATTTCATTTTATTCTTCCTAACAGTACAAAAATATGCTGAAAGTGTTAATTCTTATTTGTTTACTATGCACTGTTCACCATTAAAAAATGAACTCTGTACTGCTGTTGATGATGTAAATATATTTTTTCATGTAGCCTGCTTTTTGTGTCAATTTTTAATGTTCTTTGTTTTATTTAATATACTTTTCAAAGGATTTTTAACACCATAGACTCATCGTTAATTTTTTTAGCTAGTATTTTCACAGATCATTAAAAGTGAAATTACAGTACTTAAAATACTGTTCATTGTAGACTCGCTATAATTCCTATTAATCATAAACATATTTGCTCTATTTAAACTTTTTTTAGTATATTTGATGAAGTATAGCATAGTCTTCTACTCAGGGGCGTAGCTACCGTCGTATCAATGATATGGGGGGCCCCAACATATGTTAGCAAAAAATAATGAAATTTTACATGGGGCCCCCCCAAGAGGAGTTTTTGATACAGGGCTCACTTAGGACTAGCTACACCAGTGCTTCTACTGTCTATATTTTTACTTTAATTTAGAAGAATTTCGATTATTTATACTTGAAGAGATGTTAAATGTTTAGTATAAATATTCGTTTTACTTATTCCGTGTTTTGATGTATAAAATTTTTTTAATAATTTATGCTTAAATCGGATAGTTTAGTTATCAGTCAATTATGAATTCAAATCAGATTAGTATTTACCTTGAACATAATTGATTGTGTTATCGGAGCTCGAAAGAAATGTTAGTTCATGTGTGTGTCAAATGAGAACAAAATCTAAATTCTCAAAAATCTATAAATTTTTGGATAAATATTCTTCAAATTTTATTTTTTTTGGAATTTTAAACAGATAAAAACCAGACAAGACCAATTGATTTGCCTGTACTTTTCACAAATAGAATTTGACTTCGAGGAAAGCTAGTTCGTTTGATATACTGAACCCAGTGACGTAACGAACACCGCCGCATCGCGGGGGGGCAGGATTCAAGGGGGCCCCAAAGCCTGACTGGCGCTAAATCGTATTTAACCAATTTATTAAAGGCAAAACACCTGACTTTGCAGGGGGGTGGGAGGCTAATATTCTTCGTTACACTCTGGTAGCACAAATTATAACATAATAAGGGGTATCGTAAAGCTTTAATTTTTACTAAAAATAATCTTGATTGGAAACCAGTTTTGTTTATTATTCGTCAAACTTCTCGGCTTTGTCATCTAGAATTTCTTGACCTTTCAAAGGCCGTCATTGTAGAACTCGGCTGATGGCGTTGAAAAATTTTTTCCACTTAAATGACGTCTTTTGTACGGTTTACTTTTCGATCCTGCAATATTTTTTTAATCCAAGGTATAATGAAAACTCTCTTGGGGTGGGATCGGGAGAATAAGGTTGGTGCCGCAAACTTTTAAAACCGCATCGCCTTGATTCCTCAACCGCACCTTCAGTTGAGTGATCAGGTGCATTGTCGGCAAGAAGACAAACGCCTTCGGTGAGCAGACCACATCGTGTCTTGACCAGAGCATCGTGCAATTCGTTTTGCAAAGTACTAATGATGGCCCGAGCTTTTCCAGGTAGCTTTTTAGTAATATGACCCCACGACAATCCTCCCAAAAAATAGACAACATGACCATTCCTACAGATTTGTCCACCTTAGCCTTCTTTTGAAGAGGTGAATTTTTCTGATTCCAATCTTTGCGCATATCGGGATGTCATTGACATGTTCAAGAATTAAATGCATTTACTTGGTGACCCAAAACACCCTCTTCATCTTTCTCTAACAGATTCAACATCTTTAACAGATCGCAGGGCTTTTGCTTTTGGAAAGTAGTAAGCGATTGTGTAATTCAGCATGCTGACATCTTTGACGTGTGCATAGGAAAATTTTTCCTCAGAATGCTACACTTAAGATCATTTTCATCCATGATCATTTGGATGATTGTTCTGCGGTCTAACTAGAGAAAGTCCTCCACTTTGACAGCATGCTTCGAGATTGATGGTTTTCTACTTTGTCGGAGAACTCCTCTACATATTGTTCTTGGTGAAACTCTCGCTCATTGTTTGAATTCCCGTGGGGATCCAACGCAGCATGGGTGCAGTGAGGGTCATGGCCCCGGGCGGCATACGAAAAGGGGTGCCGGCAAGAACCGCGATATTAAAATTCTAAAAACATTTCAAATTTGAAATCACGCCCTCGTGACAAAACTGACTGAAACGAGTGAAAGCTTTAATATACGCACATATACAGGAAGTGTATTAGTCGCTATGCAATTGCATTCGTTTTTATGCTACTTAGGCTTCTGGCAACTGGTACTGTGTGAAGTCAATGATGAACAAAATTATTTGCAAACAGAGGGACTAAAATATCCATCAATTTGCTTAAAAAATACGTTCTTTATAGACCGCATAAGATGAGTTTGGTGTTTTATGGCGCAAGAGCCAGTTTTGGCTATACTGCGCCAAACATTCATAGGTCTGTGGTCTGGACGGGAAAAGGAGAAATTGGATGATAAGATGGAGGGTCGAGAATAGAGAAGGATCACTGGGGTACCCCGGAGTCGTGAAACCCGTGTTTACCAAAGATAGTAAACCCCTTGGGAAAAGAAAAAGATCACTAGAGAGAGAGGGTACCTCGGGATTGTGTGACACCGGTTCCCACCTAATGAATGTGAGCCCCCTGAGGGGCAGACCGCATTAGAAGCAAAATGAGAGGAATTAGTGGATGACGCTTTAATATATGTTGAAAGTTTATGTGAAGAGCTTGAAATTCCTTTGAACTCCCAAGACGAATCAGGAGGAAGCATATATTTGGTTACGGAAGTAAAGATATTCAGTTATAGTACGAAGATGACTTGAGGCGCACAATGTTTTCTTCAGTTGACAGAGTAACTGCTGAAATTCGAGAGATTCCAATAGTTGCAGAATCTAGCGTAAAAATATGCTTTTTAAAGGCCTGAAGTGATATGGGCGAACTTAACTTAGATATAAAGCTCCTTAAGACATTAATAAAGAAGATTTCCAACTTGAGCGCGTATGTCTACAAACTTTCGTAGCTGCAACAGACACAGGCTGTAAAAAAGAACTCGTATAAGGTCCGACTCTCTCTCTCTCTCTCTCTGGGTTTATTAAAATATATTATTGAGTCCAAACTTGAGGATGGCTTACCAAACATTGTCATAATGTTGAGAATTTTTGAAGTTATACTTCTTTTGTGTGGGGGCGTTAGAGAAATAGGATGAGGGTAAATTTTTACAATGTGTGCGCACCCCGTCACGGATGTGACGCAAAACCGTCACGGATGCGAAAATCCTTTGTCTAGAAATATACAGAACGGGACACAAATCATTCCCGTCTTCGAAATTCTCAGAAAAATATTTCTCTTCACTTTCCTGAAGAAGGAGACACCCGGGTTTGAACCGGAGACTTCTCGATCTGCAGCCGAATGCTCTACCACTGAGCTATACACCCATATCAGCGAACCTTTGCTTTGCGTTCCGAAGAACGTATACGAAAATGCTTTGTCTAAAAATATGCAGAACAGGACAGATCATTGCCGCCTTCAAAATTCTAAAAAAAAAATAATTTCTCTTCACTTCCCTGAAAATGGGGGCACCCGGGTTTGAACCGGGGACCTCTCGCAGTCAGATGCTCTACCACTGAGCTATACACCCCGTGTCCGAAAGCCTTTGCTTTGAGTTCCGTAGGAACGGATACGAAAATGCTTTGTCTAGAAATACACAGAATGAGGCAGATCTCATTCCTGCCTTCAAAATCCTCAAAAATAATTTTCTCTTCTCTTCCCTGAAGAAGGGAGCATCCGGGTTTGAACTGGGTACCCCTCAATCTGCCATCGAATGCTCTACCACTGAGCTATACCCCCTCGTCAGCGAACCTTTGCTTTGCGTTCCGTAGGAACGGATACGAAAATGCTTTGTCTAGAAATATGCAGAACGGGACAGATCATTACCGCCTTCGACCCCCTCCCCATATTATTGGTCCTATTGTCCCTGTGCGGGGGTGTTTAAATTTATTTAAATCATGATTATCTCAGGTTTGGCTGGTCCGATTAACTGAAGGTTAGTATCCTTCAACTCTGCTCGTGACCGCCTTTCGTCAAAGCTATCATGGCCTTGCTTTCGTCCTTGGCCCAGCTTGCCCTGCTAAAGATTTTTAGAAAGATTTTAATTTTGTTACGCCAAAGAAGTATAACTTTTTACATGCGTACATAAGTACACACACACTTTTTTTATTTAATATATATCTAAGAACTTCATATTCTGCAAAAAGACTTTGAAAAGTTGCTTATTAACTGTTGTTGTATTTCCTTAAATCCTTATTTCCATAGATCAGTTAGGCGATCATATCAATAATAATTTTATGTTAATCCAGAAAAATTAGTTCAAGTCCATCCTTTTAGTTATTTTGCTTTATTGGACGAAACACATAGAAGACATTACACAGCTAAGTACATTACGTAACACTCTGACTCTACAAGCCACAAACAAAGTATATATACCAGGGGTGGCGAGCCTTTCTGGACCAAAGTGCCATTTTTTCTAAAGAAGTGTTTAATGATGTACAGACGTGCCGTTAAATAATTTTGACTTGTGATTATTGGAAAAATAATGCAAGTATAAATACTAACAACTCAAAACTCTTATTTAATACGAAAAAAATATCTTTTGCTCTGTATAGTTGTAAATATGTGTGTTTTAGTTATACATGTAATTCAAATTAAAGAGTAACTGAGCGACTTTTGTTGTAGATTGGATGACAAATAATGTATATTGGGATTGTAAGATGTTACTTTTAGTAAAATGCATGCTGAATTGGAGTCTTCTGCCAAATGGTTTCTAAGCAATTAATTATTTTTGCTGTGGTTCACTTTTTTGACAAGAGGATTTGTGATGTGTCTCAAAATGCGGTTTTACAGACGATGTTCTGTATACCACTGTTCCAGAACATAAAACACACACCTCTTTGACACCTTTACCAATCATGCCATATTTCTAGATTCACCAAGTTTGGAATTTTCTGTTATACTTACTATCTTGCATTTTTTGTTCTTTTGCTGGATTAGCCATGTTAAATAATAGTTAAAAATCGTAAATATAGCACAAATAAACTTTGAAACACAGCTGTGTCGACGGAATTGTAGATTGCGTACACAAATTTTGCATTATGAGCAACTATAGTCCAAGACGCGACTAAGGCAATAACTGTTGTGTGTTGTGACTAATGCCACACCTGCCTGACGAAGTCAGATCGAGGCCCGAGAAATTCATAGCGGCTAAGGGCTAGAATTTTTACGCCTGTCGTTAGCCTTAGCTTTGAGCACCATGCAGGTGACAGTACGATTTTGCTCGGCTCCACCCCAATTTAGAGGGAGAAAACCCTGGGGGTGGCCAGGGGCCTCCCACCTCTCTTCCCCTTCCACCAATTACACGAGAGGACTTGCGACTCGACAGCTATTTAGAGTACCCCCTGCCGCAAAGGCACTATACATTTATAAACATCCATGTCTTCTCCGGAATTCGAACCCAGTCCTTACGGCACCGAAGTCAATAACTAAGAGACTATAACAAACGAGTGTGCATCCCACTATCCTGCGACCGATCACTCGTGTTTGTTAATAATAATTTAAAGTGAATTTTGTTATTTTGAAATAAAATGCAAACCATTTTGATCACTGGCGGGAACAAAATATTGTGCCGCGTGTCACTGGTTCGTCATCCCTGATATGTACTGTGACGTCTCTCGCGTCTTTCTGATTAACATAACTCCTATGTTCTTTGACGGCCACGATTAATGGCAAAACCTTTCCAACCCAATACCAAGAAGAGAAACGGATCGAATATGTAAATGAGATATACTATAAAAGGATAGCGCGGCAAACCTAGATATAATATAGCAATAGCATAGATAGCATAGCGTAGCAGGCTCAGAGATTGTAGTGTGGAATCATTCTGATCAATAGCGTGACAAAGCTTAGTGTGAAATCTTGCGGAGCAAGAATAGGCAGTCAAGAATTAGCTGCATTGCGGATCAAGAATCTTCAAATATAAAGTTATAGATTATATTCTCTAGGTCAAGGGACCAGACTGGAAAAGGTAATATTAGATATAAGTAATTAGATAAACAGGATTATTTAGGATAATTGAGATAGATGATCTAGTTGCGTGATCTGACTTAAATACGTGATTTACTTTGGGCTCGACTCTCACTTTAATTAATAATTGTCAAAATTAGAATTTAAGTATTATAAGTTACTCTTAATAAAAGTTGTATTAAGAATTATGTCTCATCATTTTGATAATCCCACACCTCTAGCTTACGCGGAACCGGTAAGACATGGTCATCACAGGATGGCAATGTCTCAGTACTCTTAGCTGACTTGACGCGCCATCTATATTTAACATTTAATTTACAACTGTTGCATGTTCCGAAGTTGGGAAGACAAAGCAAACAAACTTTATACCAAATAGTTTGGGTTATACAGTTACTTCAAGTTGCCAATTTTAAGGAAAAACATGCAATTCATGAAAAATAATACACAAAGTAAAATAAAAGTAATATGCAAAATGAATAAATAATACGCAAGACAGATTGACAGATGTAAACAAAGGGGCGTGGCCAAACAGGTGTTTGAATTGAAAAGAGCATAACTTCCATAAAAATGATCGGAATTGAAAAATTATTTTTGCATTCAGTAGCAGAGACTAAGCATTGCTAATATATGCTTAAAGCGGAAAATCGAAATTTAGATCGATTTTTACCAGAAAATAAGCTAAGTAATCAGATAAATTTAGAATTGCATAAATTACAGGGGAGACCGGGGCAAGATGACGATGTTAACAGTTTTTGTTGTTTATTAATTTATTTTTAAGGATAAAAAAAAATTATTTTTACATGAAGTGTTAGAGTAGTCCTTTGTAGTATTAAATCAATTACCATTTAATTTTTCAAATAAAAAAAAAACAAAGGATAATTTTATTTTTTCAGAATCTTAACAAAGTGTCATCTTGCCCCAGTACTGGGGCAAGATGACTTGGGGCACTGGCGGAGCTAGTTCTGAGTGGGCCCCGAATCAAAACTTCTTCGGGGACCTTTTTTAGAAAAAAAAAAAAGCCCTGGGTAGTGGTACTGTAGTTACACGTGTTGGTGCCCTTGTAGCTTGGGGGCCCCGTATCATTGATACGGCGGTAGCTACGCCCCTAAAGGGAGGTAGAGGAGATCCCAAGGATACAGATTTTCATAACAAACCATGGTCGGAAATGTCTTTCGGCGTTGGAAGAAACAAACCTAGATTACCTCAATCATTTTTATATCAGATACCCAGCAGCCAATCAGAGAGTTCCGTTGATCATACGGTCGTTGGAGTTCTCTTCATGCCGACATGCTCTCTCTGAGGTCGAAGTAATCCACATAAGTCAACTACCAATCAGAACGCTCCCTCTCGCTCAGGTTGGAGCAAGTCTCTTGGCGAATTTAAATCTTTCTTGTTAAAATCGGACAGACCATTCAAACTGTTATCTATTCTTATGTAACTTCACAAATTTTTCTCTTTTCTCAGCTAATTCTGATGAGTGGATAATATAGCTTTCTCTAAGGTAATTGGTTGGGCAGACAAACCTACTCCGGCTCTCATTGGCAAAGCGAAACTTCTGAAATTGTTACTTCTTTGTGATAGTTTAACTTTTTCTAGCTTTGAAAAAAAAGCTGTTTTTTCTTAAATTTTAAATTCTTGAAGTATTAAAAGAATTTCTAATTATATATATATATATATATATATATATATATATATA